AGCCCATCAGCACTGAATTACACTAAAATTTTCCAACAAGTTCAGAATAATTTTCAGAATAATTTTTTTGGACAACTAAATATTTCATGGTTGGAAGATGTTTTCTCTGAAAGCCATCTCAGATGAAGCAGCAAAATATATACTTCAATATATTTACTATACATATACCATATATATACTACAAATTTTGTTGACTCATTTTCAAGTGATTTTGTTCTTTAAGTTTCAGGCAAACGCTGAAAGCTTAATTTGAGAAAAAATTATTGCAACACACATCTTCTGAATATATCCTTTTATGGCTAAACAAGAATTACAGACTTTTAAATATAGTATTTGAATATCTTCTCAAAATTATATTATGAGGAGGTTTTGCTGTTAGACCAGATACTTCTGACACTTTGAATAAAGTCTATTTCATTCACCTAGCCTATGTTGGTTGAATGCACTGGTGTAATAAGTTGCTAGTAATCAGGATCGTCACATCCACAGGGTAATTCTCGTCCCTCGAGTACTTAATGGAGACTCTAAAACCAACAGAAATAAAATGGGGTTCGTGAATTCTTGCAAATTGTTGTAATTTGGCAAGGGGAGATAATTGCAAGACTGAGCTGATACTCTGTCTACATCAATTACAAAGCTGTACATTTAAGTCTCCACCAAAATGATTTGTAGGCAAGGAGTCCAGTCAGCTATATAGTAAATCTTAAACTTCTGGCTATTAAGTATACAGCATCTCTCACTAAGGGGGCTGAAGCCTGTCTTTCATATGTTAAATGAAAAATTCTCATCCCTTCCCCATCAGCAATTTCAGCGAACTATCTTCAATATCTGTCTGCTTTTAGTTCTAGCAGCAGAAGGTTCTCCAAAGATACCATCACAGTTTAACACCATTTACAGTAAAGCCTTCAAAAGTATCCTGAAAAAGGAAACTCCCAGAAGATGTTTTTGATGGATGGAAAGAGTTTGATGCATTTTCTATTTCCAGATATGGGAACAGAAAAAATAAGCATTTTTCCAGAAACTGTCATGTAAGCTTAGTCCTAAAGAAGATGTGAAGATGTGAACTACAGCGTTGGTAAAAACTACATGAAAGCATAAGTAACCCTGTCATTTTGATACAATCTCATGGCTCTTCAAGCTTTGGAGTTGGTCTGAGCAGGTGACTGAAGAACATCAACTGTAACATAGGTGGTAATACTAATGTTTTATTATATTCACAGCATACAGAATCCAGCATCATATTCCCTTGTTTTGCATCCACATACATCCATCTGAAACTTGATTTGAAGCTTTTATTAAGTACAACAGAAGATCACTCTGAACTTCCCTTTAGAGAACAGCGTATAAGCAAAGATCCCATTTTTGTATGATTCATACACATAAGCCAAGAAATTAATTTAAAAAATCTAACAGACCACATTTTCTTCTATTAACAAAAAAAAAAAAATGCCATTGCCGTTTCTATTTTTGCTTGCAAAGACACAGCAGCTACCCCAGTATATACTAAATGTGGGTGTTTAAGCACATAGAGATACATAGACATGCACACATTACGGAGCTTTGAAATCTTATTTATCTTACAAAGTTTTAACAAATTCACAATTATTCTTTTTAAGGCACTGGCCTCTAATGGAGTGTTATTGATCAAGATTGTCAGAAGATAAAACTCAGCAGGGACTCCATCACTTCCAGACAGAGTATTTTTTCCTTGCAAAGTGCTAAAAAGTTGATAATGAGAGGTGTAACAGACTCTGAGAAAAAAGCATCAGAAAAGCTACATCCAGAAGGGGGAAGGAAACTTTATGAAACAGTTGCCAATATTACACTAACAAGCAAAAGTCTATTTGACGTTGATTCTCAGGGTTTAAAACTACAATAAAGACTGTGGCAGATTACAGTTTAGTGCTTTAGAACATAAGAAATTGTTCAAAAGACTGAGGAGGTCTAGAAGCTCCTCATTTTTGATTGCAAAGCACGAGCTGATAGGGGGAGCACATGAAGAAGCATGAGAAGATCAAGAGGGGTGAATTGTGTGATGAATTCAGAGAGACTGAAGTATCTGTGCTGCAGGTTACATGCAGAAATACTAAATCATTCAGACAACAAACAAACAAATAAAGAAACCCACAACAATTTTTGCGATATCACTGAATCAATCACTGCAGTTGGCTAAATGCCAGCCCTTTGGCATGTACACCCTTAACGTATGGTTTCCTATGATGCATTTAGTAAAGACTTGCATTAATTACTTAAAATAAACATCACTATAATTAGCATAGTCAGAAAACGTTCAGTGTGCCGAATCTTTTCAGTAGAGCAGATTTTTCTATGCTGCTAGCAAATCAGATTTATTATTTTTCAACATGTCAGCTTTACAACAAGCAAGAAAGAAAAATGAATCTCAGGCTGTCACTTAAAGCATCACACTTTTAACCTCCTTCTTTCACCCAGAGCTCCTTACCTTTACTGACACCCTCTGGTCCCTATCTTTAAGTCAGGCTGGAATTTACTCCATCACTCCTCCGAAAAATTTACTTTCCAAATCAATATTTTGTGGAGCACAGAACTAGACATTTTCTGAAACCCCCATAAATCATATCACAATTCCCTGGTAGCCTACCATGTCAGCAACTTATTCAGGAGACTCCAACAAATTTGCCAGTCATGACCTTCCCATGCAGAACTTGTACTAACAGACGTCTAAGTTATGTATTTCTTAAAGTTGTTCTTTATTATTTCCTAACAGTGGAGTTTTAATCATCTCCTTTAACTTAGCTGCCAGGTTATTTTTCCTCAAGAACTGCTTTCAGAGCTGTTTCCTTCCAAGTGGTCAGTCATAATTTAGACAATTGTATTTTTTTTTTAAAAAAAACTATTTTCTATTTTCACTCTTGTTATATTTGCCCTCATTGTAAAATGAAACAAAGATTCTCTGTCATTTTAACATAGATTTAAAAATAAGACCTTTGGCTTTATATCAAGCAATAAACAAATCTGGAGGTCTCAGTTTCTAGACCATCTGCAGCTACTGTCACACTTCTTTGTCACACACACTGCTAGTTCTGACTTTTTGCACTGGCTTTTGCTCTGTAAGTATAGGAGACAGGAGAACTACATGTTGAATAGCACACTTCTTAAACTATTCAGCTGTTATCACCTTCCAGAATGCCTCACACTTCATTCTCCTTTTATATACATACTTCTTGTCTCTTAAGACTTTGTCTGCTTAACCACATCTCTTAATCACTCACACAGCTAGAGGTATATTGCCACAGAGGGCTACTGCACATGAAATATTCTTTAATTACCAGAGTTCATGTCTCAGTTTTCTATCTCCCTTTTAGTATACTTCACACTAGAAAACATGCTTCTTCCTAATGCAGGACAGATATTGAAAGGTGGGGCTTTTTTGTATTTGAAACTGCTGATAAATGCAGTGCTAATTAAAGAGAGATTATGAAAAGGATATATTTGCAAATTCTGATAGATATTTTGATAGCACTTTAAAGTAATGGACCAATTATTCTTAATTCTTTTGGTATTCACTGTAATGATATTAATCATGACAAACTGATTTCGCTAATCTTGATTGCTATAAAGTACTTCTGAAGGAGTTTGACTATAACTCAAAAATAATTTATTCCACTTTTATTAAATGGAAAATGTCATCCAAATTTAATTATCAGGAATTCCCCATAGCTTTTGGCTAACAGTCACCATGTCATTTATCCATAGTTTCAAACTTAAGGATCTGATCCAAAGCTGAAAAAAGACTACGGGAATGCTGTATGTCCTGTAAAAGATTATGACCTCAGGTCCTCCATTAAAAACATCATTGAAAATGCATCATCCAAATAACATATTAACTTTTAAATAGTAATGATCATAAAAGGAAACGAACTTTACCAAAATGTTATATTTCTGACTGGCTGCAACACATAGAAAACTTTACGCCTAGGAAGTCTCTTTACACAATTGTGTATTTCTTATGCTTTTAGGAAGTTTCTGTGCTCAACAGGAATGAAACTAAACATCTCAGTAAGTACAGATAGAGTAATGGGTACTGATAAAAATCTTAGTAACTGCTTCATGCTGTATGCTGTAGGAGTAACATTCAGTTCATAGCCATCTCATAGGCATTCCAGATAGTCCCATCCACTTCACTTCAGAGGAGAGAAATCAGTGCATCTTTATGTAATTTCATCTCCTCTGCTCGTCAGCACAGGAGAGCAGTGCTTGCACTGCACTTCCCTAATTCAGGAGATAATTGTTCATCCCAAAGCCAAGTACCATTCCAAACTTCAGAAAACAACTTTCAGTGCAACGCTATAAACAACTCGATATGGTACATTATTTTGTTTTACCCTCAAGCACTTATTTAGCTCTTCTAAACATTAAAAAAAAAAAAAAAAACAAAAAAAAAAAACCATTAAAATAGGCATTCTTTCTCCATAATATGTATTTGTTCTCAGAGCCCCACACCTCCCCTCACAACTCATTCACTGCAGTAGTTTGCTAGCTATTTAGATGACAGAGAGCATGTAACAGATCACAGGAATTTCTGCCTCAACTTTTCCGCTCAATTATGACAGCAATTTCAAGGCAAGAATCTAAACAAAAAGCAAACAACATCAACCTGCAGTAGGAGCCCAGAAGCGAGATCTCTCACCATCGCTGGCTTCACAGACTTCTCCCGGAGATGCCGCGATGAATATTACAACAAATTATCTGCCCACACTCCGGAGTGTAACAGGGAAATCAGTGCCAGTTGGGAAACAGCGACGACACTTACCGCGGCGGTGCGCCGTCTCTCTCTCCCTGACTCTCAGTCTGTCTTTCCCATCCTCCCGACAGCCTCAAATAGAGCAGTCCCTTATACTGTTCAGCCTGTGGGGAGCAGAGGATTGCAGAGTTGGTTGGTTTTGTTGTTTCTGCTTTTTTTTGTTGTTGTTTTTGGTTTTTTGGTTTTTTTTTTTTCTTTTTTTTTTTTTTTTTAAACCATCCAGAGGTAGCACTCCCAACCCGACCGCCTCTCCTCTCCGGGCTCACTGCTGCACAGAACCAGGTGAAGACATCCGCGCCGCCGACTCCCGCGAGCCCCTCCCGGCCCCGCCGTCCCCCTCCCCGCCGGGGTGGGGGGTACTGAGGCACCTCCCCCGGCTGAGCCCGGGGGCGGGGGCTGAGCCCCCGGCGGTGTGTGCGTGTGTGTGTGCATGTGTGTGTGCGTGTGTGTGTGCGCCCGCTCACGCCGCGCTCCTATCCCTAAGCACATGCGGATACCCACAGCAAAGGGACGATTTGGCGAGCGCTTTCCGCTGCTACCCTTCCCAAGCCACCAGCTTTCCCCAGTAACCATTTTATCCCCCATCACCGCCTTATAGAATTCTTATTTCCTTTTCTTTTTCTTTTTTTTTTTTTTTCTTTTTCTTTTTTGCTTAAATGCATTTTATTCTCGTCTGGTACTGATCTTTCTCCTATCAACACCCTGCGCCGTTGCCTTCATCGCACACAGCACAGTCCTTCTCTTCATGCCGCGGCAGCTGTAACTGGAACAGCCCTGGAGCCGGCAGACCCCTCTCCTTCCCCCTCCTCATTTCCCTCCATCCACCCGCTTCTCACTGCACACCGTTCCGACACTGCACCCCCGCTCCGCCCTACAGCGCTCCCCGTACACTGCGCGGAAACTGCGCGAACCGCGGAGCCGCGCCCCGCCGCTGCGCAGAGCGCCAGGCCGGCTGTGCTTCTGTGAGTTGTCCCCTGCGTTCCCCGGCTGCTTCGGTGGTCATCTATGCATGCAGTGCGCGCTTCCACCCCGCGCCTCTCTCTGATGGCTACCCTCAGGATCCGGACTGATTAAATTCTTTTCTTTTTTTCTTTTTTTCTTTTTTTCTTTTTTCTTTTTTTTTTTTTTTGGTATATATATATATAAATTCATTAATTTATTTTTTCTTCTGTAGCAACGGCAACTTTCTACTTTAACATGTGATGTTTCTCTGCACTTCTATAATTTTTTTTCCCCTTGCTTTTTTTTTTTTTTTTTTTTTTCATCTTACACAAGTAATTAGGTTCTTTTTTTAACTTCTGCATTAACTGAGTAACTGTTACCCAGTTCCCATTCACCAAGATTTTTCCCTGCTTCAGTGACTCCATTTCAGTGGTTAATGCTTTCTGAACCCATGTGATGTACAAATATATATGTATGTATGTTTTTCTCTACTTATTTCTTTTATTTGTCATGTATTTTGTTTTTATTTATTTTAAGAAATCATTATTTGTTTTAGATAAATAGGAAAGAAGAATCATTCAGTTTGGGAATTTGCTGGGGTTCTTATTCTGTTCTAGCCTTAAACCTTGGCAATCCCACTGCAATTTTTTTTCCCGATGTCTTTTTCATGTATTTCATATTGACACCTCTAGAAAGATAACTTATCAACACTGTCACAAAGTTTTATATCCTTTTGTGGTCTTGTGTGCTATATTGAAAGTCTGACAGAGGCTTTACAAATCCAAGTCATATGAGTTCTGTCCACTAATAATATCATTGAGAATGAGCTCATCTTCAAGCTTCAACTCCCTTTTTTTTTTTTTTTCTCCTTAATGCCAAAGTTGTAAATTTATTAGTAAAATATTGTAAATTTATTTATAAATTTATTGTAAAGTAAAATTGTAAATTTATTAGTTACCACTACCTTAACTCTTATGGTGAAAGGCTGAGTATGAGCCCATCATTAGAAATTGACTTTGAATTCAGTCTCCCATACAAACCAGAAGAAAATCGTCCCCCACAGCTCTGCATGGCTCTCCAGGCAAACTGCTGTTGGGAAAGTAATGTTGCAACTTGACATGTCAAAGCTTCTCTACATTGACTCAATTTTCAGAACATTATCATCAGGTCATTATTTCCAGTGTTACTAGGCTACAAGACAGCATTTAATCAGAAGCCAGGAATAGTCACTGCATTAATTCTGATGGTATGAATAACTTATGAAGCTCCATTTCTCAATATTTCCAAAGTGAACATTAAAGCCAGAAGCATTTTTGTTAATAAATGTATTTTATTTTACATATAGTAGCCATTTATGACAACAGTCAAGAATTACGTGTGAAAAGGTGAGTTTCACTGGCCCTTTGTGATTTTTCAGATAGTGATGGAATTAAAAAATACAAATACATATATATATATCAATCTTAAGTCACAAAGAACAAAATTTTATAGCCTTTACCCTTGTGGAGTATACAGATTAGTGTTATTTTTAATTACCATAAAGAACATTTCTATCTCTATTGGGCTACATCATTTTTGCTTTTAACTCACTTCTATCTTATGCTCTTGTCAAGGGACATATTTGTTTTGAATGGTAACATTTTATATTTACTTCCTTCTTTTCAATAACCCATCAGCAGTGTTTCTACAAGGACATGTTTTTACGTTTTCCTTTAATATAATGATGAATGGATAATATATTTATAAGTACCAGTATTCTTCAGAAGTGAAGGAACATACAGCTTTTAAGATAACCTGTTAAAATTTCAGCTGATTGTGTATATCCTTTGCAAGGTCAGTTCCGTTCTCACTCCATCACGTAAGATCATGAGTTGTTTTATGGCATATATGTTCAATGTTTAATGCACTGACAGCAAGTAACTTTCACTCCTTTCTCTCAGTATTATTGCTATTATAGACTTTAAGTCAATTTAGCTGCAGTTCACTTATCTGATCCAGTTGTCTATCTATCTCCATATAAATGCCTTAATCTTTCTATCTCAGTGTCCCCAGTGGGCAAACAAACAGATGCAGCACATCTGCAGGGCCTGAGTTGTTTCTGTGCTCTTCTCTGCTTTGTTTTATACGTCCTTCATTTTCATTGAGTCACTCTTCTTCTTTTAAGCTGAGTATTCTTTCTCTTTGCCACTGGATAACTCTCTCAGTAATACCATTATTACTGCTGTATTTCATTGTTCTTCCTTAACCAAATATAGAACATAAGCAAAAGATAGGTAGTAAATTTGGAAGAAAATAATTGGTTGCACAAGTTTCTCCCCCACATCTGTGTCTACAACAGCACTGGGTATGCTGTGTTAGAGTGGCATGAGAGGTACTCTCTGTCTTCCCCTTCCCATTTATAACAAAAAGTTTTTAAGTTTTTTTGGGTAATTTCGGACAGTATTTGAAAATTACTTTTTTTTTTTTTTTTTTTTCTTTAATGCAAGCATGTGCTGACACTGTTCTAGCACTTTGTAGTACCCTGTACTCTGTAATTTTACTGCCAATTGCTACAGTTTTAATAGAATTATAGAATGGTTTTTGTTGAAAGAGATCTCAAAGCACTCCCAATCCCTGCCCCCTGCTATGAGCTGGTTCCTCCATCCATCCTCCCCCCCCACCAGCTCAGGCTGCCCAGAGCCCATCCAACCTGGCCTTGAGCACCTCCAGGAATGGGGCATCCACAGCTTCTCTGGGCAGCTGAGCTAGGGCCTCACTGCCCTCTGAGAAAGAAATTTTCCCTGGCATCTAATCTAAATCTCCTCTCTTTCCCTCCTGTTTGTAAAGTTATTTTCAGTATTGGAAGGATTTTGTCCTCTAGAATATCTGGGTAGGACCGCTCGATTCCTCATGGCTACATAATTAGAGTTATAGAAAATTTTTAGGGGGATAAGCAGAATTATGTGTAAATATGCATTCGGCAAACAGCAAAAGATTCAGAGCCAACCATGGAGGCCTTCTGCAATAGCAGATAATTAACAAACTGAGGGGAAGAAGTTGCTGCAGAACACAAACAAATAAAAAGACAAAAATCACCAATCTTTGGGGACAGAAGACTCCTGAATTTTTAGATGTGCAGACAGATGCCTACTGTCCAACATAGAGACTGGCAGAAAATTAACCTATCTGAAAAACTTTGGAAGCAGTAGAAAGAAGCATATACCATATCATAGCTTTATATCAAGTCAGAATATCTTTTTTAATCCTGGAACAGAAACCTGTACATTGAATTTATTGTTTCATTGATCCATGGCCTAAGTAAGAGAGGGTGGTAGAGCTGTTCTGCAATTAGTCACGCAACTTAAAGGCAGTGAGGACATTTTGTTCCTTGTTGGGGAACCTTGTTGTTAGCATCCACTGCTGCCTAGATTAAGAATAAATAGGCTAAGTACTACCTAATTACATATTATGCAGATATTTTCTGTATGTTGCCACCAAAACTATGAACACCAAAGAATAGACTAGCAGTGCTGTGATACTCAGTTTTAGCAGATGGAATTCCCATGTCTCTTCAGAAACCACAGCCAGTAGGACAGCCATTCAAAAGCTTTGAATATTTTTGTCTTATTCCAATCCCATTTATATGCTGCTTCTCCATTGAGTTTAGGGTTTTTGAGGAGCGATCTGCAAAAAGCCAGAAAGACTGGTTCTTAAAAACTAGTTTCTTGGCTTCTGACACAGAAGTGATCATCAGGCAGAGTTCCTCTTATTTTTCTGAGTTGTTTGTTCAAGTGCAAAATAACTTTGTAGTTTCAGAGGTAGAATAAATCTCAGAAGATATCTGGAGAATCATATTCTCTGATGGGTTTCCTAATCTTGGGAGAGATGTACCTAGAACATCTGTTCTCAGGTACAATGCATTGATTTTGGTGCTGTGGTATTACTTATTAGTTAGTATGCTGGGAATAACAAAACCATATTATTGCTCATTCCTTCCAGCTTGATCTTCACCATATGCACAAGAAGGATCTAATGGCCCCTGGAGACCGATTCTGCAAACAGGGAGCATAACTTCTGCTACATGTGGGAGCAAAATGCACAAAGGAATGACGAATGGGGGAAGAACATATCAGTTTACCACTGTGGCCATCCCTGTCTAACAATAAATATTCAGACAGCAAATAAGTTAGGGGACGTAGTGAACTGGAGTCCTCAAAGAAGAGAAAAACAAAATGAGAAATTAAAGACTCTTGGAGCACCACAGAATTTCAGAAGAATAATCCGAACTGATATTTGAGTGTTCCAGCAGCAGGAGGAACTGGAGAGTGACAAAGAGAAATACCATTACATTCCCAATCTAAATCTCACAATATTCAAGGGCATGCAGAATGAAAAGACTGCCCTCCTTTTGACTGCAGAGCAGCTAGAGTCCATGTCGTCTCAGTGCAGGCAGAGGTATATACTAAATTTAGATTCTTAACTCATGTTTCAATACCTAAATATAAGTGGCCTGATTTTTTCAAAGATGCTGAGGAATTTTCTTTTTTCTTTTTTCTTTTTTTTTTTATTTTGGCATTTAGAAAAAAAAAAAAATAGATTCCTTTGGTTGAATATCTAACAATGGTAGTCAAAGTTTTGCTCTTATAAACCAAGGCATTGCAGTCTGTTTTGTAATACATCTGGAAATACCATTCTGCCTCACAAAGATGGAGGATGCTACAACAGATAATCAAAAATGTCCTTGTTTTCCATGGCCCCAAGTGTGCAGAACATTTGTTTTTTTTTCCTGCCTGGAATTAAACATAAGGAAAATAAAGGAGTTTACGAGGAATAGTGGATTTGAAACACCCTATTTGAAAATAATATAACATAAACTAGAGTGAAGCTCTTTCTTCAAGTACAGCCAGCACTGCCTGTTTAATTCAAATAGTAACACACAGAATATCTGATCAAATATAGGTATTCAAAGGTGGCATTAATTTGATAAAATAAATTTATTTAATCTAATCACAAATGTTATTGATGGTGACTTGGCAGGTGAAGGGACAAAAGAGGATGACTTTGAAAACTTTAAACCTTGTATGAAGGGACAACATAAACTTTTATGAAGGGACAACTTCCTGATAACTGATCTTTCATCTTAAGGCCCCCTAACTAAATAAATTCCTGAAGGTATCCTCTTGAATGGAGATTATGACTTACAAAATATATATGTATATTGCAGGATAACTCACAGAACAGCTGTACTGTGAAAGCTCAAATAAAATGTGTCTACAATTAAAACTGAATATATACTGACTTCATTAACTTAACAGCTGCACCAATAACCAATACCATGGAACATACTCTACTTTGTTAATATCTCAATACCATCTGCAACAATCAAAACTATTGGGTTTTAAAGCACAAGATGTCTTACTAGTATTGTGATCACAGCTACCTCAATATGCTTACACGTGCCACTGAAGCAAATTGATCTATTTCAAAGGAACTTCAAGCATTATGTGCCACACAATAATTTCTGATTGGAAGTGTCCTGACTTCCTCCATTTGCAACAAAGTCAGAAACAGAAAATCCTGATGTTCTCTTTCCATCTCTCATGTCAATTTCTCAAATGAATTAACAAAAACTCAAGAACAAATATGGGGAAGTAGACTGTAGTAGTATAGGAAATTCTTATGCTAACAATTACTTTCTTACTTTTTGACACTGCAACCCTGTCTTTTTCATCCATATTTCAAAGTGTAAATTCCATCTTTTAAAAGAAAGCCACATACACAAATCAGAAATCCCAACATACAGAATCACGATGGCATTCAAGTAAATGTACCAGATTTTTAAGTATATTAGATTTTTTAAGGAGCATTACAAGAGGCATAAAAACGCATACCAGCTAGGCATGATTCCATTGGATTTGTACAGCATTAAGTCATCAGTCATGTGTTTTCCTCCAGGCTATAATCTGAGGGTGAACAAAACCCCTTCTATCTGCTCTTCTGAGTTTTGATGAGCAGTGTCTTAGGGGGTTTCAGTTTGTCTGTCAGAGCTGACACTTAAATCATATCCTTACACTGTGGGGGAAGATGTAACTGTGAGCGAGTCACCAAAGAGCTTACCAGACTCCTTGATGGACCCTATCACTGTGAAACCTTGGGAGACTGGATTGTAAGACAGAGAGCAAAGGACGTTTGTATCTGAGGGTGAACAGGAGGATCTTCCTGACTGCATTGCTAATCTTGTCACAATTGAAAAACCTTTCATCCTTTATCACTGTTGTCTGGGAGAAGCTAGGACCAATTAACTGATTAGAGGATCTCTTAGAGGAACTGGAACTTCTTGTTTGTAAGTGAATTGTATATAATATTTATGTTGAACTCAATAAAGGAGAACTATTCTGATGCTACAAGAAACAGCGAGAGCTCTCTGACTCGACTGAGCACCAACATTACATAATTGATTCCTTTCTGTCTCTGAAGATCCTCCAAATTTCTAGAAGTCCTACTTTCCTGTTACTACCTTTGCCCTGTTTCCTCATTTCTGTTCTTCCACATCTGTTATGATTTGCTTGCTGAACGTTTATGGAGACAAACCAGTGGGTGTGAGCACAGTGAGGCAGTGGGTGGTGCATTTCAGCTGTGATGATAGCAACAGTGGGTCACCTCCAATGGTGCAGGTTTTTGAATGCAGCATGCAGGCTCTTGGTCATTGCTATTGAAAATGCAGAGCTCGTGGACTAGCTTGAAAACAGTGTTTTGTAGTTCAGAATTTGCTCTAACAAACAGTGTTATTGTGCTCTTTGTCTCTGTTGTAGTTTCCATTGAAATGAGCAGGAAGTATTATTTGGAGTGACCTATGTAACTGACAAATTTGTTGTAAATTAACATCACTGAAAAAGAGTATTTTTCCATTAACTTGTGTTCAGAAATGGCTGAATCATTTTTTGCTGAAACATTCATAAAAAATTTAAAGTAAATCTTCTGCTTGACAGACACCCAATGGAGAAAAAAATCATGCCAAGTTTAACATTTTGGTAGTTATAAGCAGCCTCAAACAGAATCTTCCAAGGGAAGTATCAAGCAAGAATAACTCCAAAGAAAATACTTGCTCCATCTTTAATAAAATTTTTTTCTATATTATCAACTAATTTTTACCAATGAAAGTGAATGTTTATGAATCTGTTTTCCTTTCAAAGTGTTAACATTGAGATATAAAGATTTTTAAATATTTTCTTACTCTAACGTTCTTTGAAAAAGATGTGAGAGACTGAATAATGATTTAATTTTTTTTACACACAATTGTATGCCCCTGCAATTAGGAGTGGTCACAAAGTTGGACAGATATTGATTTTGTTAATTGGCCTTGGAGGCTATAGGTTGAATTAGATGATATACTCTTATGAGAAGAAATTGCAGATATCCAAGAGCAGTTAAGCTACTAAGGGAGAGAAAATTGTGGAAAATTTCATTTGTCACTCCAAAGCAAATGAGAAAAGATGGACAGATGAACAAAGTTGGCAGGAAAACTGCAGTATAGTGGAAGCCTCTGAGAATGACCTCATTGAGGGGGCTTAGAAACAGAAAAATGTACAGTTTTAAAAAACATGGGATTTATTGGTGGAAAGGGGGCCCTCTAGGGGGTTATAACAGAACATGGGGAGGCATTTCAAATTTTTGTTATTACTTTTTTTCATTGTATTCTCAGTTTCCATTACTTTAAAAAGGCTATTTTATAGTTTGAGGATAATCTCCCTTACAAGGACAGAGAGAGAGTTGGGGCCCTTCAGTCTGGAGAAGAAAAGGCTCTCAGGATACCATAGAATCACAGAATCATAGAATCACAAGGTTGGAAACGACCTATAAGATCATCCAGTCCAACTGTCTCCTGATCACCATTGCCACCACAAGCACTAAACCATATCACGCAGCACGTCATCCAGATGCCTCTTGAACACTGTCAGGGACGGCGACTCCACCACCTCTCTTGGCAGCCATTCCAGTGCCTGACCACTCTCTGAGAGAAAAAGTTCTTCCTTATGTCTAATCTAAACCTCCTCTGATACAACTTGTGGCCATTACCCCATGTCCTGCTCGTTGCCTGGGAGAAGAGGCCAAATCCCTCTTCACCGCAACCTTCCTTCAGAAAGTTGAAGAGTGCAATGAGGTCTCCCTTGACCTCCTCTTCTCCAGACTATACAGTCCCAACTCCCTCATAAGACTTGTGCTCCAGACCCCTCACCAGTTTCGTTGCCCTTCTCTGGACACACTCCAGGGCCTCAATGTCTTTTCTGCAGTGAGGGGCTCAAAACTGAACACAGTACTCGAGGTGCGGCCTCACCAGTGCTGAGTACAGGGGGATGATCACCTCCCTGCTCCTGCTGGCCACACCATTTCTAATGCAGGCCAGGATGCCGTTGGCCCTCTTGGCCACCTGGGCACACTGTCGGCTCATGTTCAGCTGAGCATCAACCAACACCCCCAAGTTCTTCTCTTCTTCACACTCATCCAGCCACTCTGCCCCAAGCCTATAACATTGCATGGGGTTGTTGTGCCCAAAGTGTAGGACCTGACACTTGGCCTTGTTGAACCTCATCCCATTCACCTCAGCCCAGCGATCCAGCCTGCCTAAATCCCTTTTAAGGGCCTCCCTACCATTAGTCATATCAACACCACCTCCCACCTTGGTGTCAACTGCAAACTTACTGAGGGTACACTCAATCCCCTTATCTAGGTCATCAATAAAGATATTAAACAAGATGGGACCCAGTGCTGACCCCCGGGGGACACCTCTTGTAACGGGTCGCCAACTGGACTTAACTCCTTTCACCACGACCCGCTGGGCACAGCCCTCTAGCCAGTTCCTTACCCAAAGAAGGGTAGACCTGTTCAGACCACGGGCAGCCAGTTTCCCCAGAAGAAGTCTGTGAGAGACCGTGTCAAAGGCTTTGCTGAAATCTAGGTAGACTACATCAACTGTCTTTCCCTCATCTACAGTCTGGTCACCCAGTCGTAGAAGGAGATGAGGTTGGTCAAGCACAACCTGCCTTTCACAAACTTGTGCTGGCTGGGCCTGATCCCCTGGACACCACACACGCCATTCAATTTCATCCAAGATGATTTGCTTCATAACTTTCCCTGGCACCGAGGTCAGGTTAACAGGCCTATAATTCCCGATCCTCCTTATGGCCCTTCTTGAAGATGAGAGCCACATCAGCAAGCCTCCCATCCTCTGGGACCTCACCAGTTAACCAGGAGCGCTGATAGATGGCCAGTCTTATAGCAGCCTTTCAGCACCTAAATGGGGCTTACAGGAAAGCTAGGGAGGGACTTTTTGAGAGGGCAGGTAGTGACAGGACAAGGGAAAACTTCTTTAAAACAGCCTTAGACTAAGATTTAAACTAGATATTAGGAAGAAATTCTTTACTGTGAGGGTGATGAGATACTGGAACAAGTTGCCCAGTGAGGTTGTGGATGACCTCTCCTTGGATGCACTCAAGGCCAGGCTGGATTGGGCTTTGAGCAACCTGGTCTAGAGGGAGGTGTCTCTGCCTATAGCACGGGGGTTGGAACTTGCAACCCAAACCATTCTATGTTTCTGTGGTTCTATGATCTTTTGAGCTTCAAAGACATTTTGTGTTTTTGGAAGTGGTCTCTTTCTTAAAGGAAGTTTGGAGCAGGATTTACCTCAGAGCTGCATCTTAAGGTCCCATCTCAGAAGATTTATTAAGGAAAGAAAAAGAGAGAAAGAGTTTTACTTCACACTGGACTAGCTCTGAATGTTTAAGCAAAGGACATTAAGTATTTAGTAGAATTTCAATTGCTGTTGTGAAATATCAGTCAATAAGTGTAAAGCACCTTTAACAAAGGAAAAACATGAAAAAGCTATAAAATTAGCTAAAATCTGTTCTATAGGATTTGTATGAGCATAGGATTAGGGTTTTGACAAATACATTTATGCAAATGTAACAAACTGAAAGCAAAACTGTTTATGTGTGAAAAACATTTTGGTAAATATATAGCCAAGTACTAGTTAGTGAAATTTAAAGAGTGATGACGCAATATAAGATTTTTTTCTTATCATTCCAATAGCACAGTTTAAAAGCAAAGGCAATTTGTTAAGAATTAAATTTGTACTCTACATGTGAAGTAGAAACATTTTTTGCCCATCAGATGGTTTAATTTTCTTAGAGAGAACACATATGCTAATTTAATAATAAGCTTAGAAACAGCGTTTTTTCAAAGCATTCTGGTCTATTTTTTCCATAACAGATTCAAGACACTGGTAGACTAACTCTGCTCCTATTAGGTACATAATGCACGTTACATAAATGGAGTAATTATGTTTTTACTGTACTTGATGGATTTTAACATGCACTTTAAATGTCATGATACTATGAGCAGCAGCTGTAAAAAATACCATCTCACTTTTTCTTATTTATTTCCCCCTCTCAATTATTTCCAAAGCAGTTATAAAAGTCTGAAGGAGTGCTAACTACCAGTATTGCCATCTCAGGATGGTGTGCAAATATATTTCTACCTGACACATCTCCCTCCTCCACCAGTGGCAATTACAACACAGATGGACTCAAGGGATTACTGACAATTTCTTTAATGATGTGCGAGCGCTCCCATTGCCCATTTAGATTTACTCTGCAACACTGACAGTGACAAAAAGGTGAGTATCTTGGCTATTAAATGTACTTAGTAGCACTATGACATTTTGTGTTTTCCCTTGCACCCAGAGAGGAATCGCAGCTTTTTTCCATATGTCTGTTCTTAACAACCTTCTGACTATTAATGTTACTGAAGCTTCCTGTTTCCAAAAAGAAGTCCATGCTGTCCATTCATGTCCTTGTGTGTGCAATCCAAACAGTGAAATGTACAGGATTGCTAATTGAGTTTACTGTGTGCATAGCAAGGATTAAACAACACTGATTAGGATTGCTAACGTGTCAGTAACAAGCAAACTTATGGTAGAGAGGAAGAAGTTAATCACACCTTAGGCTTTTTGTTGTTGATACTGGTGATATTTTTGAAACAGCAGTGCTGAATTTATAAGGGATGCTCCGAAAGTAGTGCCTCCTATTTTATTCTGTTGATTCATGTCGTCACAGCCAAATGTTGGTTGGATGGGAGTAGAGGTTGAACTTTCCATTACATTTGTCTGCAGTGTAATAGATGACAGCAGAGAGTAAGTGTAAGAGAGTAAGCACTGGTGTCTTGTAGCTGAGAATTTGCCCTATTAAATAGTATTTTTGTGCACTTTGTGTCCATTGTAGTTTCCACGGAAATAAATAGGAGACCTTATTTTCAGAGCAAACTATATAGTTTGCAAACACAGTAAAATCAATTATAATAGATGCACTTTTTAATATATGTAATATAATCAGTGTTTCAATTGAGAGAGGATTGGTTTTAGACAGTTTCATGGGTTTTACAAAGTACCTAACATTTTTATGAATTTTTTCTTCCAGAATCTGCAGAGAAGAGTATTAATATTTCACAAATTGTGTAAGATATAGGAATCATAAGAGAACACAGCTATGTCTGATCTACCTCTCAGGAACTGAACTGGAATTTCCTTAGTGTCAAAGATGGCTCACATGCATTTTATTAGCTTTTTAATAAGATTTTTAATCTTCTTCCAAATCAGTTCACAAAATGTAGGAATACTGTCAAACATTTATGCTTGCAGTATGAGAAAAGAGTACTTTATTCTGTACTGATCTCTGTATATCAGTATTGGTCACTGCAACATGCCCTTAAGAGGACTAAAATAAATAATGTAGACTGATGGATTCCAGGATACTGCCAATTCATCAAATTCCCTAAGTCTCTCCTTCCAGTTTCTGTAGTTTCATGCAGGGAGGATGCTCAAATTGCATTCTGAATCTGCTACACATTTCAAGTCTCTATAAAAATTCAGTCTCTGATTCAGTCATATCTCTAATGTTTTGTAGCTAAAGCAATGAATGAGCTTTCATAAGATCTGGATTAAGTTTCTTGAAATGTTCTATACTCCTTGGGTGTCCCTGGATCTGTTATTTCTTTTGTTTAGTTTCATTTTCTATTCTTCAAGTTTACTTTTCCTAACTTTATCATCATATAAAGTACACCCTCTAAACCAGAATACTATGTAGTTATAATTCCTATTTTGTATTCATAGCAGAGTTGAATACAACAGTCTGATTTGGGGTATTGGTTAGAATAGGATCTCTAGATGCCTGATTCATGTATGAGGTTTTAACTTAAGCACTGAATGGTGGATTTCATTGTTAATTGATACTTAGAAATAATGTTTTACCTCTGGAAATAACTATGCAACTAATTTAATAAAATGAACTGATCAGAATGTATGTGTTTATTTTGAATTACATTTCTACACATAAATGCTAATTAAAATTCATTGCTGCTGATAATAACATTATTAGCATGTATACAGTGTACTGTTAACAGAAACAGAAGTAGCATTAATTAGTGGAATTAGGTATTTTTTCTACTGAGATAATGTCCCAAATAGCAATTACATATATTTGTACATTCTCTACAGATATTACTAATAGCATCATTAAATCAATACAACATAAGTTTAGAAATACTGAATAAGTTTAATGACTGGGGACTTGACAGAGAATCTCCATTCTTATTTATTTATTTATTTTAAATTATGCGTGATTTTCAATGAAGTTGGGAACTTTTGGATGATAGAAAAAAACCTAATGTTGTGTTTTGCACCACACAAAATAAATGAATGTGTGTATGTGTGTCGACATCAGTTGCTTCCAAGTTACAGCTTTTCAGATGTTTTTGGGTCATTTGCTATCTTAATGTTATCTAAGTGGCCACTGTGCGTATGTTCACATAATTTATTTAATCTTTTTTCCTTTATTTTACCTTGACACCATTGGAATTATTGTGCACATTTACTTTACAGTGTTCAGTACCTTGACGCACTCAGTGCAAGAAACTCTTGAAAGATAGATAAGTGGGAAAAGAAACTTTTGTTTCCCAGAAGATTAAGTAAAGCCACAAATAAATGAAATGAAAAGCTATGAATGCTCCAAAGATACCTTGTTTTCACCCTCTTGAGCACACTCAAAGAGCAGACTGTTCGACTATGTAACCCATAGTCCTATCCCTCCAGAGTTCAGTATAATCACATGAAAATCCCTGGAAATCCCAGTCTTTCTTTCCTCTTTTAGTGATATCCCAACTACAATTTTAGAAGGATTAGTTCTCTTGATTAGTTCTGAGTGGCATACATAGTAAATAAGTTAACAGAGGAAAATATTACAACAGGAAAATTAAAAGGTCTTCTCAGAATTACTACCCTCAGAGGGAGACAGTTTACAGTTTAGCAAGCCTGATTGCCAAACCCTACACTCAGACCACAAGTCAAAAAGATTTCTTGAAATTTAACTTAATTTTAGTAATCAGCTTATTTTTAGTAATGTAAATTACATGTTATTATGACAATGAGGTTGAATTGTCTTGTCTTTTGGACAAAAAAGATATAGGAAATATATAAGTTATAAGCCCTTCTATGAATAATCCAGAGTAAAGATCAGTGGTAGAAAAATTGGTGCCTGTGATTAAGGAAGCTAAACATGGCAATAGATCACATCAGTGGTCAAATTCTATTGGTAGAGCAAGTTGACCAATTAAAGTCAGTATTGTGATGTAGGTAGCATGCTAACACACACACACACACACACACAAAAAGGAAACTGGAATCAATAGTGAAGTTACAGGGATTTTATCAATTATTAATATTCCTTTCTATACCTGAGTATTATAGTCCTAAGAAGGACAATGAAAGATGATAAATTTAAAATGATACTTAGCTAGCCATCCTGCATTTAAAGTGTTGCATAGCATGGCAATGGTCGGGGCTTTTGGAAAATATTCTGTTTCCATGTATGCCAAAAATAGTTTTTCAGGGGCACTTAGATGTAATTGATAAAACAATATTAAAAAATATATATTTAAAATATGGGGATTGGATATGTAAATAACATGAAGGAGTGAACTGAAATAGAACTTAAACTGCAGACAGTAAGGGTTCTGTGAGACAGAAATATGTGGAAAATGATGATAGAAGTTTCATTTGCAGTGTATGGCATCTAAACTTTGTTCTCTTTTTCACATCTTCAGATGCCCTCTCTGTGTCATACTGTCAGTGGATGCCATGAGCGTCTCTCAATGCCATTTCAAAGTCTGCTAGCAGAGAAGTAAGAAGGAAAAGCTTTAGGAAACCAGTTCCATTCAGGAGATAATTCCCTTCCCAGAGGTAAGTGCATAGCTTAACTGTTAAAAATCCTCCTCTCTACAACCACGAAAGTGAAGACTAATCTGAGGATTCAAAATGGAATGTTCAGCTTTGACTGAGACACCAGACGTGGCTGAAGTATCATAATGACAAAAGATTTGTAGCAAAACCAATTCTTTGTGGAAGAAGGAGTCTGAGAACACGAGAAAAAAAAGCAGAAATGGTATTTAGAATATACTTCATAGAGCAGTGTGAAGACCAATAAATCTGCTAACTGGGCCTGGAAAATTAAATCTTACTTTGTATAGATTTATCTTTAGAAGAATTTAAGTATACTTTGCTTAAGGCTTTCTTTCCCTGATTATTTTGTGAGGAATGAGAGAGTTAGAATCATATAAGAATAGAATAATTAAGGTTGGCAAAGACCGATAAGATCATCTAGTCTAACTGTCAACACATCCTCAGCATGCCCTCTAACCATGTCCTTCAGTCCAGTGCATTACCACTCTTTTAAAGAGATCATTTTTTCTAATGTCCAACCTGAACTTCCCCTGGGGCAACTTGAGGCTACTACTTCTCATCCCATCACTATTACCTGGGAGAAAATGCTGACACCTACCTCACCACAGACTCTTTTTAGGGAGTTGTGGAGAGCAATAAGGTCTCCCCTGAGCCTCTTCTTCTCTAGACTGAACAATCCAAGTTCCCTCAGCCACTCCACATAGGACCTGTACTCTGGATTCTTCACAGCTTCACTAACCTTCACTGGACTGCAGGACATCAATGTCTTTCTTTCAGTGAAAGCCCAAAACTGGACACAGTACTCAAGATGCAGCCACACGAGTGCTGAGTACAGGGTGACAATTATTTCCCTGTTCCTGCTGGCTGCATTATTTCTGATATTAGTCAGGATGCCATTGGTCTTCTTGGCCACCTGGGCATACTGCTAGATCATGTTTAGCTAGGTGTCAACTAACATGCCCAGATCCTTTTCCTCTGCACAGCTTTCCAACCACTCTGCCCCAAGCCTGTAGTATTGCCTGGGGTTGCTATGACCTAAGTGGAAGATCCAGCACTTGGTCTTCTTGAAGCTTATAAAATTGGCATCAGCCCATCTATCTAGCCTGTCCAGTTCCCTCTGTAGGGTCTTCCTACTCTTATGCAAATCAATACTTTCTGCCACCTTGGTGTCATCTGCAAACTTACTGATAGCACACTCAATCTCCTCAGTCAGGTCATCAGTAAAGATATTAAACAGGACATACCCCAAAACCATCCACAGGGGAACGCCACTCATGACCAATCACCCTCTGGATTTAATTCCATTCACCCCCACACTCTGGGCCTAAACATCCAGCCAGGATCCAGCCCCTTGGACTTGTAGGAGTCATGACAAAGCCCACAATTATCTAGTCTGTTATAGTGCTGCCTGTGTGATATTTGCTATCAATAGCCTGTGGATAAACTATAATGAAGGATACCTACTGTTGCTCTTGCTTACATTGACCATTGTATTATTTTATTTCTGGTCTCACAGATTAATAACAAAAAACATGTCATGAAGTGGGCATTTCTAGAGGATATTTCAATCAAACCACTTTAATTCAGTATTAAATATACAAATATTATGGAATTGTGTTATGTACTCTCATTTTTACCTACAAGAAAGTTTAAACAGTATATTTAAGATCACCTTGGGATTTAATTTGGAATAAAATAAACATGCCATATCTAAAAAGGAAAAAACCTAACTAATTTATCACTACTTACTCTATCTTATGGCAAGCAGGGCTAAAAATAATTCCTATCTGCTTAAAATGTGCCTTCCAAAGAAAAAAATACAACACTTAAAATCAAATAATTGCATTTTTAAAAGTGGAGCCTGCAGAAAAAAAATGAAATACTTTTACTACTTTTCAAGCATAATTATGTAATTGCATAATTAATGGTATATTTCTAAAAGGCAGGGTAGTGGCTTTGCATAGAAAAGTCTAGAATTTGTTACTTTTATGTTCTACATAATCACTGCCTGTTCTTCCATCTGAAGGCATTGTGGTGTAATAAAATTTGGTACTTTACAGTGCACACAGCTAACTTTCCTCAATACAGAAAGATTTTTAAAGAAGAAAGATTTAAAACAAATCAAATCATATAAAATTTTTTTATATATATGTATACCTGTCACATTTCTTTCTGATTTTCATACACTGTGGATGAAGAAGTAAGAACTTTTTGCTTACAGTAATGTACTACAAGCATTGTTGTATTAAAATATGTAAAGACAATATTTGCATGATCTCACAACGGCGCTCTCATCCCTTCTGCCTTTAGGTATATCACATAACAAGTGGCATGTGGGCCAACAGCTGACTTGTAACTGGGTGTCTTGGACTGCTATAGGGCTGCCAATTTTGGAATGGGGAGGTGGCTTATTGTGTCTGGGAATATATACACTATGCTGGTTCTCAGCCTGGTTCCCTGGGAAGTGTGAGCAAAGCACCTCAATAGTATAGAGCATGGTGAAGATATGTGTCAGTATTCTCTTATTTCTCAGTCATGGAGAAATATCCATATCCTCCAAAATGCACATCAATATGTGAAAGTTAGCACTTTTGCAAGAATGTATTTGAGTCCAATAAATAGCTAGATGGCAAGCCATGTATACATTATTTACAGTGCAAAGAAACAAGTAGGGAAAAAAAGAAAAAGGAAAAAACATAAAAACTAAATGCCAGTGGAAAAAAAAAACCTGATGAAATATGAAGAATTTATATTTTTCTGGTCCTCTAAAGGAGTACAGTGCACATAAACAGTGCACTGCCTGCCTGTAACAGTGAGTGTCCATCTGCTTGTCATGTATACAATTCAAACATGTAAACAATTTAATGAAAAAATGTGCCTTATTTCCAGTATTTTGTGTTTTCATTTCTGCAGTTTATTCTCTAATTCTTGCTGTTGCTTTGGTTTGCTACATTGTTTCTCTTTTTTTTTTGTAAAAATGTAGTGCTCTGAAGTTGGCACTCCTTTCCCTTGCTTTCATTCCTAAGCAATATGAATTCTCCTTGCACCTACTGTCACATCGTTGAACACTCATTGTATGCTATGATGTGATCAAAAGTAGAAGAGAGTTGGCTTTCCTGGGCTGGTGTCTATTCTTATCCCTTTCTTTTGTGTGTTGGTGCCATCTGCCTGACATCTGGAGCTCAGCACTGGGGACCGAGTCCTGAACCACATCCGTGTCCTTAACACTGATTCACGTTGTGATCTTCAGAGACAACAGAACAAAGTGAAAATTGTTATTTCAATAAATAATTCAAGCATTCAGACTGGAATTCAAGCACTCATGGATCTGTGGTAAAATAGCCTGTAAACTATCGCACCAGAAAATTGGAAAGTGCTGTGTTTGTTTAAAGTAACAGAGGCAAATTTTCTATTCATGTATTGATAAGTATTGGCAGTCTCAGTTATCCTCCAACTGTTGTGAGTAGGAAGCTGGTTCTGTTGCTAAGACAGTCCTTGTAACATATTTATTTATGTCTAGGATTCTTCATTTTGCATGACGAAGTTACCTTTCCTGCACAACTATGAAATTTAAATACTACACGGAAACAGTTGAAGCAAGTTCTTGTGTTCTTACCCTCATCCCCATCTCCATCCCTGTCTCTATCTCTGTCCTCATTCTCATCTCCATCCCCACTTCCATCTCCCTCCCCATCCTCACTCATCTCTTCTTTCTCTTCTTTTTGCTATACTGTGCACAGACATTACTTTCTCCTTTTTTTTTTTTTTTTTTTTAATTTATTTTATCCTAGCCCAGTGCATTCCAGTGTTCAGCTTCCTTCTCTTACTGTCAATGTGAGTTTCAATGACCTCTTCCTTTACAAGCTATCTTGTCATTTTATCTCTTCCTATAAAGTATTTTGAGAGGCTTTATTTGAAAATGCTGTATGAAAATGAATTGAGTTTTACTGTTTTAGCCTGAAGCAGGTGTTGCACGAGTTGATTTCCCTCTCCTCTCCCTTCTAGATGTAGCTGCTGTCTATTTAAACAGATGTTGTATTTGTGTTGGTTTTTTAAACGTTATTTATCAGTTCAGCACATAAAACAGTTTGGATTTAGCAATTCTCAAAGGCATTCTTTTCAGTAAGGTCTTACACTTATAAAATATAAACTATACCAAACCTAATAAGACCCCTGAGAATAATGGACCTGCAGAAAATAGTTGCCTCAATGAAGATTTTACAAGGAGTCTGAGAGTCATAACGAAATTGAAAAATCACAGATGGAAAAGGCCAAGAAATCCCCGACAGGACCAACATGCTCCGTATATGGAACTCTGTATTTTGTTTTTAAAATTTTCAGTTCTGAAATTTTATGCCAAGTGGTGACAAATTTTATCATGTGTTTCATAAATGTATGATTTGCTTCTCCCTCTAGGTTAGCAGTCATGAATCAGCAATGATTTCAGAAGATTCTCTGAGACTTCCCAAGAAAGCAAATGAATGTGAATATGGGAACCTCTATATAGGATTTTATGACTCTAGAATTCTGTGGTGATCTAGGTAAACTGCATTAGTATGCTTCAATTGAGTACACGCAGTAGCTTGAACTGACCACTGATGGCCAGCATCTGTCTCTTCCCATCACCTTGGATCCAGGAAAAAGCTTTGTATGAGCTGATCGTTTGCATCAAACTAGCCACCTTTACTCACATGAGGGAAGATAAAAAATCATTAGTGACAGAGAACAAGGTAGTTAGGTAGATTCCAGAGGACTGTGCAAGGAAAATGAATCAGTGACACTTTTGGAAGAGAGATACAAAATTAAGATTAGAAAGTCCAGTCCTATGCGATGCTGAAGTTATTGGATGCATCCCTATAAACTGTCCTGCATCTACATCTTTTAATTACTATTTATTTGAAAAAGGTAGTTTTCATCAGTAGGTGACGGTTGGATATTTATAGAAACACAGATTCACAGAGTCTTTGAGGATAGAAGACCTCTCTGGAGGTCTTTGTGACCACACATGTCCAACATTTTGGCTTTCCTTGGCCACGCTGAGAAAAGAGGAATTGTCTTGGACCATATACATAAGTTGCTCTGAAAGTAATGCCTCCTATTTGTTTCCATGGAATCACCGTTTTTCAAAACATACCACCGTTTTCAACATCATTAACACCATTAGCTATGCATTTTCACCAGTGATGAACAACAGCCTGCACACTGAGCTCATAGAAATCTGCACTAGTGGAGACGAATCACTGTCACTACTACTGAAATGCACCACCCTCTCTCACTGTGCTCATATCCACTGTTTGGTCTCCATAGATATTCAGCAAGCATTAGTGTATGTCAGTGGGTGTCTTTTTTTCCATATACAGAAATTCAAAGATATAACTTTCCTTTGCTGCCATCTGTCATAAGGGAGCAAAATGTAATAGAATATTGGTGGAAAAGTTAAGCCTAATGCCATACTACCAACATCTTCCTCTGATGTCATGGGTCAACATACTAAAACAGGAGGCATTACTTTTGGTGCAGCCCTCGTAAAGAATATAATATCATTAATATATAAATAAAAAAACATCTTAATTTTTAATATTTTTCTCAAAACATTAAAAAAGAGAGGAACAAAACCATAAATTAGTGGGATATGTGACCTTGCTTTTACGAAGCAAATCCAACAGTTTTGTTCAATGGTTACAACTCTCTGTGAGCTCTCAAGGTGTTCATCAGATATGAATCAGAATTGAATCAGCACTGCACAGCACTGCCCTCCCTGTGCCCTGCTTTCAATAGACACACTGTTAATAGCTCACTGATGGTTTGGTTTGGTCATTGTTGAGGGATGGGTGCATGCCTGGGACCTTGATGAGAGGATAGTGGCATCTGTCCTGGCAAGGCCTCATCTGGAGTACTGTGTCCAGTTCTGGGCTCCCCAGTACAAAAAAGACAAGGATCTCTTGGAAAGAGTCCAGCAGAGGGCCACGAAGATGGTGAAGGGCCTGGAGCATCTCCCCTATGAAGAAAGGCTGAGTGAACTGGGTCTGTTTAGCCTTGAGAAAAGATGACTGAGAGGTGATCTGATCCAGGTTTATAAATATCTGAGGTGTGGGGGCCATAGTGGTGAGGCTGGACTCTTTTCAGTGGTACGTGGAGACAGGACAAGGGGAAACGGACATAAGCTGCAGCATAGGAAGTTCCACACAAATGTGCGCAAGAACTTCTATACGGTGTGGGTGACGGAGCACTGGAACAGGCTGCCCAGGGAGCTGGTGGAGTCTCCTTCTCTGGAGATATTCAAATCTCGCCTGGATGCCTACCTGTGCGACCTGCTGTAGGGAACCTGCTTTTGCAGGGGGGTTGGTCTTGATGATCTCTGGAGGTCCCTTCCAACCCCTACAGTTCTGTCATTCTGTGATTCTGTGACCACTCCATGGTAAAGTGCCACTGTCCTTTTAGCAAAGGGCAAGGTAGTCGCATTGCCAGCTCTGTGGGGCCTCATGAGACCCACATCTTGAACATGCTTGATTTGTACCAAAGATGCTATTTAGAAGAAAAAATATGTTCTATGGATTCAATCCTTGTGTTAAAAGCACCAATTACAAAATTGTTATGGTTCTTCTCAGGAGTACAGGAGTACACATCTAACTGTTCCAGGAACTTCTAAGCTCTCTGCCATAATATCTTTTTCATAGATAGGAATTTCAGACGTGTAGGTCAGATGGGATCTGATCATACCTTATATCTTGTACCATATTATTCGGGGAGAAGACACTCACACTTGCAGGTCAGTGTAGAAGGAGCCAATGACAGCACTGACAGCTTTGAGGAGGCATTTTACAGGAGGAGAGATTGCAGGTGCCAGCTTGTCCTTGCTGTGCCGGATGGCTTGTTGCTGAATAAGGCTCCAGAGGTCACTTACAGTTTGCCCACAAATGAGAGTTGTTAGAAAATTGTTTTACCTGCAATCTAAGCTATTTTCAGGAATATTTATGCTTCAAATCAAGTCTTTACAGGATGGAGTTTTCTGCTAGAAAAGCTTGAAGTACTAGAAGTGTATTTGAGTTTAAAATAGATGAAAACAGTTTTCTCTCAAATTTAAAGCAAAGACAAGTCGTCTTGCTTTACAATTCAGCCCTACATATATGTGCAGATATGTGTACATGTATATGTATATGTATAAGCATACAGTAGTCAAAGACAAGAATAGAAGAGTTTATTCACTGAAGTTTCATTTTTCACAGAAAAAAAATTGTGAAGTTTGTAGGTCATTACTCTGCACACTACTCTGAGTTTTGAAGTTTCAGAAACATCCAGAGGTGGATGGTTTTCTAGCTTTCCCACTCCTGTCTTACTTGATGACATATTTTCAGGTTTTCTGTAGTGCCTCTAGTATTAGCAGAATGTGAAATTTTAACATTGTTATTCATTAACTGAGGAAGGGCAGAGACTTTAAGATATACCTCAATTTATCTTGTTAAAAAAACAGAATAACATACACAGAAAGTATATCAGAAGGCATATGAATATAAAGGATATTCATGCAAATGAATCTAAGAGCCACAAACTCCTTGCAAACTAGGAGTTTGTGGATTTTCTAGTTTGAAGGAACGAAAGTGCACAGACAATTAGGGTTGCATAACATTAATCTAGAGCTATTCTCAGTGAACTTGTCTATTTTTCAATTATCCAAACACAATCATTAATATTTTCATCTGACTTATAGTCAAGTATAATAATATCAGTTCTATGTCAGTCTCAGGCTGAAGGAAATTTTGAGTTTTCAATGTAGAATAGAGACAAAGTCAAAGACACAGGGCACAGACAAAATCAGCTGTATGAAGAGATAGCAAATAAGGGAAGAGAAACTTAATGCTATATTCCAAATGAGAGAATTTGGAGAATTGCCTGCAGATAGTCATGGCCTTTATTTTTCTGGAGGAATGAAACCATGACTCAAAAAGTAGGTAAAAAATCTTCTGGTGAGATAATCAAATTTCAAGTAATAATTGCCTGGAGAAAATGATCAAGATTTTTTTTATTTCTCCCAGTGCTTCTACCCCAGACTGGTAATGCCATTAAGAAAGAAACAAAAACCCTCTTGCATAAAGATGAACTGCAAAAAAAGCAGTCAAAAAGCAGATATTTAAAATGTTGAGGATCTGAAAGGTTGGTCTCTTTACCAACTTTACACAGAACTCAGACCTAGGAGGCATTTGGAAAACAGTCTGCAATTTTATCCTGGCACTGTTTTTTTTTTCTGCAGCTGAACATCACTGTCAGACAGAACTTCTTTCCCAACAAGTTCTTCTTCCCTTCCCTTCCCTTCCCTTCCCTTCCCTTCCCTTCCCTTCCCTTCCCTTCCCTTCCCTTCCCTTCCCTTCCCTTCCCTTCCCTTCCCTTCCCTTCCCTTCCCTTCCCTTCCCTTCCCTTCCCTTCCCTTCCCTTCCCTTCCCTTCCCTTCCCTTCCCTTCCCTTCCCTTCCCTTCCCTTCCCTTCCCTTCCCTTCCCTTCCCTTCCCTTCCCTTCCCTTCCCTTCCCTTCCCTTCCCTTCCCTTCCCTTCCCTTCCCTTCCCTTCCCTTCCCTTCCCTTCCCTTCCCTTCCCTTCCCTTCCCTTCCCTTTCTCCCTTCCTCTTCCCCCTCATATTCAGTGAGTTAAAATTTAATTTGATTGCTGGGTTGAAAGTTGAGTAAGCTATTTTAAGTTTGTTTCTGAATCACAACAACACACTGAGATCCGTCTGTGCTCTCTTCCAGCTCTCAGACCAGTTCTGCTTTCTGCAGCTCTGCTCATCTCTATCCCTTATCTGTGTCACAGCCAGAACAAAAGCTCCCTTTTCAACCCAGCACAAATCAGTTGTTTCTCAGGGGAGCCATGCTACCTAAACTGTTGCTACTGCAATATTCTTTTCAGAGAACTGCCAATAGATGAGATAGCTTGTCTCTATCTGTGATTTCTACCCAATAGCGATTACCTCAAGAACCACATAAACTTCATATTTTTCCCACACTTGCACAACTTTCTTTTTTCCTAGCAGGGTCTTGAGATTTTAGGGGGTTCCTTTATTCACATTCCTGGTCAGGAATGATCTTTGTTCATTTTTTAAGTGATGAAATGGAAAAAGAGAAGCTAACTCACATCCAGCTGGAACCCTCACACCATCCATCTGTAGTACTTTTGGATAATTCTTCTATCCAATTAGAGCTTGTAGAAAGCATAGACAATTTGAGAAGACAAGTTTCACTTATCTTTATAGGTAGCTAAATATTTGTGATAGTAAGTTCAGATGTGTAAAGATCCACGTTCAAGTCCTTCTCTGCTCTGATCCAGACCAGCTACATGCGTCTCATGTTACAGACGATGTTCTGATAATTAGATGATCCTCCTTTACTCCCTATTTTTCTGCACTTTTCTGTCTCCTCCTTCCCTGAACATAACTGTTCTACACAGTGGTCAAATATCTAATGTTTGTAGTGATTTCAGATGAAGGGGAAAACCGTCATATCTAGTTTGAATACAGAATTTTTATACCTTATTCTTGTAGACACTGACTACTATAGCAGTTTACATGATACATTTTTTAAGAATTTACTTATGTTTATTTTTCATAGTATCATAGAGTCACCAAAGTGGGAAAAGACCTTTAGGATCATCTAGTCCATCTATTTTCTCCTATTGAAGAAGTTCACAAAGGATTTCTGTGAGTTCTGCATCAAAAATTGTGCAGAAGTTTTATTTTGTTTATTTTCGAATTGATAGATTTGAACTTACCTACTCACCAATATACAATTTTGTGAACCTTTGTCTTATCTTCCAGACAGAGCAAGTTTGATAAATGTTGAAGTTTCAAGGTTACTCTTAGCTGCATTCTTCATTTCCTTGCAATATTTCAACCTTGGAGGCTCTCAGACAGAGACTTTCAAAGGAGGAAAAAAAACTCATTCAATGTTTGAAAATAAGAATAAAGTAACATATATATTCTACATAGTCTTCTAGAGAAAACAACTATTAAACTATCCTTTGACTTCCCTCTGAGGTTCCCATTGAAACGTCCAACTCCTTTTAGGCTTTCTCTACCTTTTTCAACTGAATTTTCTGTTTGTTATGTGAAAGTAAGAGATGATCAACATTCAAAATAATACAAAACATTTAAGAGTATGATGGCAGGACCTCAGACTATAACTTTGTCATATTCCACTTTTTGAAATCTTTTCAATGCCAAATGTTAAGTTCTGCAGGTTTAGAGATTTCTGTATGATTGCAAAGAGATAGAGCAAATATTGCTCCACTTGTGAAACTTTCCTTCTAGATACTATTTAGCTTCCAGAAAGAGATTGGACCATGCCCACAATTTATTAAAACATCTTCACCATCAACTGTGTTGATCCTTTGGATTTATTATGCAGGTTATAAATCAGGTTTTCTGCTGAGTCTCTGTATGTATGCATCTTTCTCTGCTGGGGACTGATAATATTCTCTTTGCTGCTGAGTTCTGAAGAGAAGTAGCTGGACACATAAGGGTGCTGAAACCTGAAACTAATATAACACACAAAAACTATATAGAAAGAAATTCCAGTGAAAATCAGTGATTTTATAGTGAATAACATTGTAAATAAGTCTCAGTGTCCGGACGTATGTTTAAAGCAAGTATGAAAGAAAGGAATGGTACAATTTTTTCAGTTTTTGAAATTACATTACATTTGTTTCAAATTTT